GTAGATTCACATATATACCACACACAATTTGTTTTAGTATTTATAAATCCAATACATGAACTTCAATCTTAATATACTTGTTACTTCACACATGCATAAAAATGCATTTTCTACTTACTAAAAGATAAATTGATGGTATTTTTTATATAATTTCAACATTTTGGATGATATAAATGTAACGAGCAAAGCTTATGTGTTAGATAAACGAATACAAGAAATTGAGTGTTGGCTATATGAGTTCTTCTTTGATTACAATAAAATTAGTTTGATTCAGATTTGGAAACAGCAGCTTATCTTCTCTCTTTACTTCATGATTTGGATATTTTGGGGAGAAATGCAGCTAGCTTTACTTCATTTTATGGTTTGAACATTTGGGACAGTTGCGTCTAGCTTTTCCTTGCTTTATATATTGGATATATTGGATATTTTGGAAAGAATTGCAGCCAGTCTTTTCTCAGATTTTACGGAACTGCAGCTTATCCTTTGTTTGTAATCTGAAATTTAAAAAAAAAAAAAAAAACCAGAACCAGATTTGTTCTGTTTCACAATTTGGACATTTGAGAAACAATACAGCTAACTTTGTACTACATTATGGCTTGGTCTTATAGAAAAGAGAGATCCGAAACTTTATAGTTTGGATTATATAATTTTGATAAGCATGTGAAATATCAAAGTGGCCCATAATTTCAAGATGCGGGGTAAAAGGCAGTGATGCAAAGAACCTTTAATCAGCTTTTTCTTATAGCTAAAAACATAAAATTAATATTCAATTTGTAAGATGTCCTTTTTCACTTCCTTATGTGGTTGGCAGCCCCAACCCTTTCTTAAAAGATTTGGTAAACAACAACAGATACTACACTTTTAAAGGTTCAGATACTACACCAATAAAATAACAGATGTTATAACTGATAAGACAACAGATATTATACTTATAGGGTGACAAGGACTATACTTACAGATACTACACCATAGACACTATACACTAGTCACTACAGATTCGATATTACACACATGTACATTACACCTTCACGGATTATTACCAAATCCTATACACAAAACATTACACCTCATACACCACATATAAGCACATTTTACCTTTAATTGATAAGTTCAGATACTACTTGGGTTCACTAATTAATTAAGTGACAGGGTCTAGGGTTGCCCAACTCTAGGGGTGATTCGTTAGTGACTTCTGATTAATATTGATATGTAGACTTCAATATATCAGTGGCCTGAGGAATCGAGAAAATGAGAAAAAAAAATCTAGTCTTAGCCTAACCCCAAATTAAAATCTTATATCTCACTTTAAATTTTCATATGTTTATCATTTAGACTTTCTTTTATAATCTACAAATGTTTATCTAATCTCTTTATGTTATGCAATTGTAATATATTTTGAAGCATCAACAGAATTAACCAGGTACGATTTTAGTTGTTTCAGTTTATTTACTTTTCCTACTACATAGTTCTTTCTTTACTGTACAGTCTTTTATTTCTTTACAGTATTTTATTATACAACTTTCTTTCAGTTTTTTTGTCCTTTTACAGTACTTTATTATACGATGTCTGCATGTTCTGTGTTTCATTTCTTTACTGCGTTATACTATAGATATTCATCTGCACTCATATTTTAGTTACTACCTCTTTAGTACGTTTATACAACACTTTAGGATAGGCCATTCGAGGCATGTTTCTTTCTCTTTTCCCTCGTTTCCATATAACCAAAATACACTTTTTCATTTCAACACTTCTCAAAATTTCAAAATCACAAATGATGTTTGTAAACTTCAATAAACTAATAATAAGATCTATTTCGACTCTCTCTTCTCTTCTCGGGACGAGATAACGACGTGGTCAATTGACGATTCATCTTCGAGCAGCGGTCGAAACAACAACAGAAAGTGGAAAGAGGAGCTTCAACTGAACTTCCTCAAAGTTAAATAACATACCTATAGAACGTCGAGGTCGTTCTTCTGGCACGACGTAAATCCTCATACACTATCTTTTAGGATTTTCTACGATTTTATATCGTACGATATAAGTTTTAAACTTTTTTGGATTTCGAGGTCATCGTTCGGTACGACATAAATCCTCCTATTTTCTTGGACTATTTGCATATGACATGCAGACACAAGTCCCGAATATCTAAATAATTGCAAGACTAAAACATCAAATAATTTCTCTTTTAAAGATGTAAAGTCAAACCATAGATTAATTTGAGATGTCACTGAATCTTATTCAGTATTTTTGACATCTCCTACTTTTGCTCCTTTGGATTCTGAAAAAAAATGTTCTTTCTTGAACCTATCCCACTTGACTTTTCCTATAAACAATCGTGAAAAACTTAAACGTTGAATTCTTGAAGACGAAATCTTGATCTTAAACGAGAGTCTTCTTAGGTGACTTCGGTTGTCTAAGATGTAATTAACTATAGGGGTTTGCATCTATAGAAAATTAAGAACTCAGATTAATCTAAACCCTATCTAATCTGTATATTAGAGAAGAGAATTTGTCAGATACAAAATTCACAGACCAAAATAGAGTCATAAACTTTTAAGTTTAAGTAGTTAAATCTACCAATAAGTGATACGTTTATCCTTCGAAATGATATATCATTTATGGTATCAGGCTCAGCTATTTAAACTATTAGATATATGAAATTTATCTGGTCTCTTTATTTTTTTAAAATAAAGAATACCGTTTTAAAAATCAAAATTACACTAAATATTAAATATTAAAATATTAAATTTTAATTTTAAAAATATAAATAATTAGCCGAAAAAGAGGTAGAGTCTATTGACTCTCGACCGGAAGCCTTAGGAGTCCTGTATTTGTCGAAAAGAGACAAAGTTACACATCCTCTTCTTGTCAACACAAGCGAGTCGCGGGTAAGGTCTCCACCAGGACATCATAGAGATCATCTATAAGAACAACCAACCAAACACCTTGATTAGGTTGGCTTGTCCAAGGCGATGAAGAAGAACGTCGTCGTAAGGGGAAGGCTCCCACGACCGATTCAGGTGATGACCCCCACAATCCCGTCAAAAACGCACCGAGGACATGATTTCTAAGAATGAAATTCTGCCCTTTATCGTATCGAAAGAAATGCAAAGGGTCTGAGTTTAAATGGATTCCTTTGCAGGCGGAGGTAAAACTCAACCAGGATGGAAGATCTGCCTTGATTGATCTTCAGAAGGATTGCAACACTGACTCTTCGGTCGCCGCCCGCTATGCTTCAACAGTGGCTGAGATGATGTGGTATCTGAGCTTAGAGGAGATTATGCTAGAAAAGTAGAAAACCATCACATTCAATGAAAAAAAAAATGTTGGTATTAGACCATGGAAGACCATTAAATTTCAAAAACTCACACAATAGTACGGCAATAGTCGAACATGCAATAGGTTTAAAGTGAATGGGTCAAAAAATCAAGACACTCACCAATAATGTGTTTTTATGAATGAATATCAGTATTATGTTTGCATGAATTACACGGGGGATATGCAAATATTCATAGGCAAATGAAATATTTTACCATGGTCAGAACAGGTAATTATGAAAGGTTGAAGCAGCATTTCAGGGTCTCTCACTGTCATGCAGTTGAACAAAAGTATCTGCGCCTAGTTTTCAGAGAAAACCAATGGCAAAAAATGTAGGTCAAATTTAATATTACTGAATTCAAAATATTGCAACTGCCATGCTATATGAACATGCAAACATGGCAATGAACATATAAAACAATAAAAAGATTTCACCTGTGCTCTGCAATCATTATTAGGTTGTTCCTCAAGGTGATTGACATGGCGAGCATTTTCTTTCCCAGCATGGGAAAACCATCTTGCACACTCCACCATACTTTCTGGACTGTGTGCTCCATCTAAATAAAAAACCAAGCCACCAGATCCGACGTTTGAACTTTGCACGCTAAAATATGGATCAGGAACTATTTGTGCCCGTCCTTGTAAACTGGCTGATGCAAGCCCCCTTATGAACTGTTCTGGCAGATTACTCTGTCGCCACGGAGAAAAACATCAGTGGTAAACTTCTCAAATTTGATGCAAAATTGCAAACCAAGTTATCCATTAATATCAACCTTAGGCGTTAATATCAACCTTAGTGGTTTCAGAAAATATGCCATCTGCATGTCCAGTTTTTTGAAGCCAAGTGCGACACATGGCAATTGCAAGGCCCGCATTTATATACTGATGTTCACCATCAAGTCCGAGCTTTTGACCGTTCAGCAATCCTCTATCCAATGGCAATGCAATTTCAAGGGATATCTGCAGTAGAAAAGAATATTTAATGTTGTCATACTTCTGCAAAATTGAATTGAAAGTTATAGTTCATCAAAATCATATGTAAAATAGCTTTGTCAAAACTATATCTGATCAAACTTCAAATTTCAAATGGAGCTCACTCTTAAAAGAGATGCTTTAGCCTTAAGAACCGACATTGCTTCTTCAGGCTGGCGTACAGTGTAAGCTGGAACTCCTTGCTATGACAAAGGATGAAGGAAAAAAGTTCATTTGAGATGAGAGAGAAAATTTTAGCCATAGTCGATACAGAAAAACAACCTTGAAGATGCCAGCTTTCTCTCCAGCAATTTCTCCCAATGTATTGCCTGCTTGTAGAGGAATGAAATGTAAGGCTGTGCTCGCGTGTACAAGCAAAAAAGTTCAGTTTTTAGCAAGTTGTGCATATTTTTACTTTAATCTACTCTCTATTAGTCTCTATACATTTTGATAACCAAGCCAAACTGAATATATTATATAGCTGTAAAATATAAAAACTGTTAACAGAAAGAGATGCTTTTTATGTATGAATTAGTAGCTTGATGATATTCGCAAGTTCTTCTAAGTACAGTTATTTAGGAGATATAAAAGCAACAGCTACAGGCATCAATGTCCGACACGTGGTAAAAATAATCAATAGAAGAAAAAGAAGTCTAAGTTTTAATGATAATGTTTTAGGGGCCTAAATGCTACAAATTTTTATCTATGTTGCATGTTTAACACCCAAACATTAGTATAAACACTCCTATAGCAAAAATCTTCTTGTCCTAAAAAAAAGCCACTCCGTTAGACTGGACTAATCCTAAAACAACAAGCGGCAAGCATCGAACCATTTACTGTTCCTACTAAAATATACTAAAAAAATTTATAGCCCATCTCTCCTCCTTCCATCTCACAGTAAACCTGTAGTCAAGTGCGGTGCTGTGGGGATGGGAAGATGTGATATTTAGAAGCTAATCTCTCTCCTTCCATCTCACAGTAAACCTGCAGTCAAGTACAGTGCTAAAGGGATGAAAAGATGTGATATTTAGGGTTTATGGTTTAGGGTATATGTATAAATATGCGCTTTATATATTCAATATAGAAAATTTTTGTAGAATGCATGTAACTATGTATAGCCCTTGTTTTTTATTGTGTATCCATGGTAGACATCTTTGGTTCATATTATATCAATGGATAAGCAGATTTTCAAGGACAACTCACCGAGTATTTCCATATGGTCATATCCAAGTGAAGAGACCCCACACACGATAGGTGTTTGAACCTGAATAACACTATCAAAAGTAAATATATTTTTCTAACTCGCCCAACTACAAAAATCTTTGTTGTAATCATTATACAAGTAAAACAATAATGCCTGAAATATGATGAAGCCGTAAAATAAATTATAATGGTAAAATGAAAGGCATTTTCTTTCACAGCAGAAAATCAGAGTGCTAATTTTCTAAGACATACCACATTAGTTGCATCAAATTTCCCTCCTAAACCAACCTCCAGAATGGCAACATGCACCTGAAATTTTAGAACCAAGAATATATTACCTAAATTGTGATTTATCATAAAATCTAGAACATTTACTGACTAATATTAAGTAAATATAGGCAAAGCATCGTATTTTTCCTTTAAAAGGCCGTACAAGTGGTCAGAACGAAAAATTATGAAGATATGAGTAAGAATATGATGTGTACTGTAAACTGGCCTGTTCCGCCACAAAAATTTTGAATGCAAGCAATGAAAGGAAACGAAAATAATTTGGCATCGGCATATTATCATCAGTTTTCTCCTGCACAGACAGAAGGGGGCATATATCAATTGCTCCTGGATTAATATAAAATGGATTTGCACTTGTAATATATATTTCTTTAATGAATCTTACTATGTGAGTGTAATAAAGAATATAAATGAGCATCTCTGAATAAAATTACAAGAAAACAAACTGTACAGAACTACGAAATAATGTAAAAAGAACAATAATGCCAGCATTAAGAATGAAAGATATCAGTTCAGCTGTATAACTCTTAAAAAATTAAGTTAAAAAATTATAGACCTCAAAAGCCCAACATACTTGATAGTAATATAGAAGAAGAAGCATGACAAAATTACGTGCACCTTCTTTCAGGCAAAACCAATACAATTACCTGTAGTCTATTCCAGCACCACCAGAAGTATGCCAAAAATTTCTCCTCTGATATATCCATGCTGCAATATGTACAGCCATTGAGAAAAAATTCAGTGTCTTGCTAGATTGATAAAAATAAATAATCTTCAAGAAAATAAACAATTTCTTATAAAGAAACAAATTCATTCTTTCATCCAAATACTACGTTCAGCAAAGTTTTGGGATCAGACAGGAAGGGATGTACTTCGGGAAATATTTCAGGTCTATTAAATTTTAGCAATTAAAGCAAGAATTAGAAGCGTGAGAGGGAAAAAAAAAATCAACCCTATAAATTTTTTCTAGTTGATGGCAGCAACGATGGAAGGGCGAGACAGCAGCAGGTTGTTGTTCAGGGTGCCGCAGCAAAGCTGGAGGGGAGAAGGTGAAGGAAAATGATGCAGGAACAGATGAGGGAAGGGTAGAGGAAGGATAAACACCACCTCAAGAACTAGATACAACTGCAACACCATTGGGAACGCTTGAATACAACCCTAAAAGGAAAAGGAGAGATGCCGACGGCTATCCCGAAACAAACAGCAAAAACTAACCACAAACACCAATAAAAACAAATAATCCTATGATAACTAGGAGCGGACACCACTCCCCTTGGACACCACTCCCAAGCCTTTGAGGATTCGGCCGACCCCAATACTTTTTGGACTGGTTGATACCAGAGTCAACCCAAATCACAACAAGAAAACAAATAAAATTACTCAAAGTCAAATAAAAGGTTACAACCAACACGCTTGAAAGAAAAAATATAATAACACGACACGAGCAAACCCCACTAAAGTGTATCCCAACAGTGGTGCGAGTCGGCTAGGTAGATTGAAATAGCTGGCTGGTGTAGCCGCAGCAAAGGAATGCTGAGACGGGGGATGGGTAGCGACAGAACAGCAAGAAGGAGGTGTTCCCTGGCTGTCCTAGATGGCAGTGGCACAGTGGGAGGGTTAGAAAAGCAGGAACAAGAGACGGTTTGGGCTGCAGCAATGCTGGAAGGGAGGGGGGGGTGGTTGTTGGTTTTCCCATTTGCTTAGTAGAGTATCAACAGGATTTGTCCTTCTGACAACTCATCAATTTTCAAATTAGCCTTAATCTTTTCAAGATCTGTCACTTGAAGTTACAGGTGAATGCATCCCTCACAGGCCCACTTATTAAAAATAATATTTTCTCCTGGCAATGCTACCATTAGTAGTAAATTTTCTTCCTAAATGGCTAAGAACAAACAAGGTAAAGTAAGCCTATCATCATAAATCTCACTAACAATGGCCATGGAGGATATGCTCTAAACCGAATAGAGCTGCACCTTTGTAGCCTTCATAAATTAAACGACTGGAGATGAAAAATATCACACAAAAAAGAAATGAGCAAAAATAGAACTTGACAGGAGTATAAGAACAATGCACCTAGTTTGACAACTACTAGGTGAAATTATTGTTTCCTAAAGAGAATGTTTTGTGAGGAATTTTATTAGTAAAAGTTTCTCCCCTCTTTGTCAACCCAAGTGCACTCCAATGAGTAAGAAAGAATGTCACAACCTAAAAGAGACTGGTTTTGTAGATTAGAAATAGACTCTTCTCACTTCATCTTCCTCATTTTAATAATGACCACTAGAAAGATCAACTTATCAGAGTTCATTGTTACAAGGAGGCTAAATCAAATAGCTCTATGAAGATAAAACCTAAACAAATTGGAAGCAAATAAACATTTTGCTTGAGCTAGTTATATAACTAAATGCAACTCAAGTGTAGGTGAATTGATGTGGCCACAAATAATCTTCAATGTTATTAAAATAGCCCTAATTCCGTGACTGATCAAATTGATTACAGCTCAAAATCCACTTTTACGGATAGATCACATAATTGGTAGTAATTTGTGTAGATATTCAAGAATATGACCTCAAGCTTTATATTAGACGCCAGACCAATATCGTTGAATGTAGCAAAGTAAGACCTAATTTGATCTTTTAACTGCAGGAGATTCTCCGTCAGGCAATGCACGCCAACTCGTGCCAAAGCAATAATTAATAATGGGTCAAAGATGTTCTTCGTCAACACCAAGCAAAGGGCATATGCCCCAGCATCAGTTAGTGATGTATATAATTAGTTTGTGGTTATAAGATTTATTAATAAATCTAAAAATAACGTAAATCAAAAGAATCAAAGCAAGCATATTTCTATTATACAACCAGTTTACAGAAAATTCAAATCATAAATCTGCAATTTTTTCTCTCTCCAATCTCTCCAAAATATTGCTTTTCTCAAACATATTCTCAAACAATTCCAGGCTGCTACAACTTCATGAATTGGTTACTCCCCAAGTCACTTTTAAAACTCCACATAAATTAGTGAAACACCTAACTTTCCTCATTGAATCAAAAGCGAACACATTATCAAAGGATGTCAAGGTTAAAGTCATTCCCTAGTAGGGTTCCGCCTAGGTTAACCTATCAGGTTCGTCGATTTCATTGACTCGATCAGAAATAAATCCCATAAATTGCCACCCAATCCAACTATACCACTGCCCACAAGTCCTCCTTCCAGCATCCAACCGTCAAGTTGCCTCCCATTACCCCTAGTCGGCATCCACAATACTCGGCACCTGCTTGCTTTCTTTGTCCAAAACTAGAGCCACTTGAATTTGCATGCAGTTACTCAGTCCATAACATTAAATCCCCACTCGAAGTCTCAATTAGCCATTTGAATATAAGAAGATTATCAAATATATAACTCCATCAACCGATTTTAGTCCAACCCTAACCACTCTCATCAGACAGTCCCAACAACAACATCAGGTCAGCTTCTATTTTGATATTGTCAGGTGCTCATTATTCAGCTATCACTTCTTCTAGCCACTATTATCCCTATTGAAACATGATCAACATTTTATCCCAAAGTCTCCCTAACATGCTTGCTAGCTTAATTCAAATGACATTCATGCCCATCTTAAGAAGCTCGCAAGCCTAATCTAGCTAGGTAGCCCTAACATATCTTAATTTGACCATGACACTAAATTGTCGCTTAATGACCCAAAGCATCATAAAAACATATTTTAATTAGCATAAAAATAGCCACCTTCTATCTTCCATGCACAAACTTAATTATAAAAAAACTAAAGAGATTTGCCCGTTGCTATTATGTAGGCTCCTCAAGTAACAAATAAAAGATCAATCAACCTATCGTAAAAGCTCTATACCAACACCATGCTAGGGGATCAAGACAATCATATTGTTGAGATTGAAATATTATATTTAATGGCCCGTTTGGGGCAACTTATAAGTGCGGCAGAGTTTTCAAAACGTCATTGTCCTGTTTGATAATTGCGTTTGAACTACGTTTTGAAAACGGCTTATTTGATTTCTTAATAAACGCGAGCCACGGGATCGACCCCGCGACCCGCGTTTTTAATTTGGCATTCAAAGATTATTCCTTCGCTACCCTCGTCTTGTCTCGTCTCCCTCGCGTCTCATCTGCCTCTTGCAATCCCTTCTCTCTCGCGAACAAAATCATCGACTGGGAGTTGTGCAAGCGATGGCGACTGGGAGTGCACCTTCTGCTTCGTCATCGTGAAGCAGCCGCGAATGGGAAGGAAACAACATGATCGCGACTATGTCGGGAAGGCAACAAACAAGATCGCAGTTCTTTAGGTAGCCAACGAATCGATTGCGACTCACTGGGAAGGAACAAAAGAGATCGCAAGTGGGTTTTGAAGTAAGAGGGTGCGGACTGCGGCTTATGCACATAGTGGAGCGCGATACAGAGAGGAGCGGCTTTGGAATGCAGGATAAGGCAGAGCGGAGGAAGAGGAAAGAG